CCCCCCCCCGTTCGCCCTCTTCCAACCTCTAAATCTTCCTCCCGCACGAGGAGGCTACAGAAAAATTCTCCGACATCGTGTTATCACTACTTATACCTTTTCTCTCTTGTATCTGTTGACGTGGAATTTTATCACGCCCCTCATCTCGAGGGTTTGCGCTCGGTTTGATTAATCGCTCTCGACTCTCAATCTCGTATCCCACTGTTCGGATTACTGGGATTTCCGGCACCCCCCTTAGATTCAGCCTAAAATCCGACAGAGCTCGTTTACACGAAGTTTCCACTATCGTCCTTTCCCGCTGCCAGTCGCTACGAATCAATTGCTTTTACAGGGAACTGTACATCGGACTCGACGTCGGTTGCTTCGCGTCACGCGTATTGGCTCCTTAAGACGCCCTCTGGGTAACCGTCGCGTTTGAATTTTTCATTATTTTCTCTTAGGCAAATTCCACGCGATCTCTCGACGCCCCGCGTATCCGAGGCTAATGAAGTTACGCGATTCTTATAGGCAAGGAAGGAATTATCGACGGCGGCCATCTTGATGCAGCTTCACGCCGCGCCACGTGTTTACCCGAACGTCGTTATGCAATATGCACGGGATATGCGCAAGCTGCACGTGTATATACGTAGAATATTCAATTACCTTCAACTCTGTAGTCAAAGTATACCCCGAGTTAAAGTTATTTGGTATGCAGTATATCTGCGGTCGATCACTCACGAGAAGTATAGACAGAAGTGTAGCCGACGAGACTATACGATACCCACGGGTACAGGCGCTGTCAAAATGCATCGGCGAAATTTAGCACGGCCATGGCACCGAGCTGGCTTACTTCTCACGTGCACTTAGTATAGCGAACGCGTAGCTTTTACTATAGTCGGTTAAGCAAACGTCTATGGCGAGACGGAAATAGAAAATAGAAAAAGTCACTCACCCCAGGATCCTCTTCGACGTGTTGCGTCGGTTCCAGATATCCTTCTCAGCTTTCCCTATGCACAGTTCACAGCTCCAGTCCGTCGTTTGACACTCCGAGATCCGTTCGCGCGACGAACTTCACGGATCGAACGATTATTTTTTCCATTGCGCGAATTTTCGGATTTTCACTACTTGTTCGCTTGAGGACCGAATTACCGCGCACGTTCCGCGACGTAGTTATAAAAACAGACCGTCACGCTTTTTTTTTTGGAAATTGAGGTAAAGGGTAAATGGTATGAGAAGTGATGGCACGAAATGGGCTGAAGGCCCGAAGAGATTAAAAGAAATGATTCTGATGATACTGATAGGGAATGGTTGTTACAGACATGACACTTGACCGGGGACAAGCGCGATGGACCGGATTAAGCAGGCTAGGGTGCGAAATACACGCTATCGGGCCCAACCCCCACGGACAACGGAGGTCCGGCTAACAGATACCGAAGTAACAGCGGACTGCTGTGACGCAAGAGCTTAAAGGGCCGCGAAGCGGCTTCCGACCTTCGACAGACTTTGGTCGCGGACACAAAGCATTGACAAACATGAGTACAAGACTTTGAACAACATGAGCATATGTGAATGGCCTGGACTAAGCAGTTGCTTGTGTCGCAGAACCAGAACACGGGAAAAGGAGCCAGGCTATGAAAATTCGCGATCACCCCTAGCCGAGTCGACCGCAACGAATCACTGGGCATCAGCACCGACCGAGGCCGGAAGTCCCCGAGGGGACTTGAATTTACGCTTCAACCTTCGTCACTGCCCGCCGCAAAGCCGAAGCTAGGGCAGGTTAGACGTAAGGAACCACGTTCGATCTCCGAAGACGAACCACGTTAACCCTAGATCAGCGCGCAAAGTGTTTCCTGCAGAGGGTGATTAGAAGTTACCGGGATTTGAGGTCCCATACGCCAAGTGGAGTAGCACAAGCGAACGCAGATTGACGTGACCGCTCCCCTAGAGAGCGCAGAAAGGGATGCCGACGCCAACCCATGACTCCCCACCGCTCAAACCGTCTTGGCATATTTGCTGCGGAGTTTACTGCGATACCAAAGTGATATCACGAAGAACGTATAGCCCAGCGGAAGAAATTGGGAAAATGTGTAACACAAAGAAAGAGAGAGAGAGAGAGAGAAAGAGAGAGATAGAATTAGATAATCAAGTACTACCTTAGAATGTAGATGAACAAAAGAGACAAAGAATCGATGAATGTATCACAACTGCGATGTATTTACAAGGAGAGGGGAAGGGGGAAGGAAGACCGGCAAAACGCGGTTTCCAAGAGATCGGCTCTCGAAAGACTGACCCAGCGGAAGAAATAGGGAAAATAGGTAACACAAAGAAAGAAAGAGAGAGAGAGAGAGAAGTCGCGTTATATCAATAAAAGACAAAGTAGATAATCAAGTAAATGTACCTCAGACGAGAAGATGAAGAAGCGATTAATGAATGACGATAGCGATGCACAGAGAGGGGGGAACAAAGGAAGAAAGGACGTGGTGTCCAAGAGCTCGATATAGGGGATCGATTCTCGGAAGACTAAAGCCCGATGCCGATACATTCCTTACCAGACATGCCAGTACCCCCACTCACTCGACTACCGACCGACAAGCGCTGCCCTCCCACGACAAATTTGTCAATTACAACTAATGCAGGGAGCCTCGACGACATCCTGGAATTGGCATGCAGGCCGATCGGTGCTTGACAATGGTCTCTGGCTCAGGGACCTGTTGACGCTCCTTGTACATACTCCTGAGTCTTTCATTTAACCTTTGCCTGGCGTGTCTGATGTTTATCCAACGATTTAAATATGGCAATGCAACACGCGTCTTATATAATTAACGTACCTTTCGATTCCTCGACAACTTTGACACTTTTAAAGCAAAGAAAATCTCGTTCGGGTGCCTTCCTTAACACAGCTTTCCGAAATGCTGCACTTTTCCAGAACTCTATAGCGAAAGTACAGTCTACGGAAAAAAAGAGACAAAGAAAGTCCGACGTCTTCCGAGAGTAATATATTCCAACGTCTGACAATGCAATTATCAATCTGTCTGAAATTGCGGTTCCTTGTTATCCATAATGTTGATACGGTCTATGAGAATCGTATCGTCGCGTGTTGTATGCTAATCGGACATGTACTATGCGTGTGGGACGTGTAATCTTGAGTGGGACGCGGGAAATTCAAATCTCAGCGTACAACGTCTGTACCAAGATCAACGTGAGAGACCGAAGATGGCAGAGTGAGACATGGATTATTATCAAAATTGCAAATTACGTAATAAAGCAGCTGGTACATTTTGACACTATAACCTAAATGGTAAAAAGTAATCTATTCGATGATAAATAAATTCACCGATCGATTAGACTAATTAAATAATTAATTAAACCTCATGAAATTATTCCCACACTCTAAAGTCCCATCGTTACGTTGCTTTTTCATTCATTAAGCACCTCTGTACTTGGGACGTATTGTAGCGTGCGCGACGGGTCTAACGGGTGTCGTAAAAATTCCCTGAATTTACTGCACATAAATTTAATGATGCTTTTACACAAGTTTACTTAAGATCATCGTATCGAAGTCTAAAGGAACTGCAAAGGTCTCTTAATTAAAATCTTAATGCCTGTTGCAAGCCGAGCTGCTGCGCTGGGTGGAAGTTTCTTGCACCGAATTACCCCATGGTGAATTTTCAACGTAAAGGCTGCAGCTGCAGCCGGTGTCTTCCCTTGAGCGTGACACATATGAAAACAAGGGCATCGTCGTAAATACCTAAATTACATAAAATATGAATGGATTAATTTTTCACTTTACAAATTAATTCCTTAGCCGTCTATCTCGCGAGGTCAATAATACTTAACAATAAATAAATACTAGAGAAAAGTTTGTATACGAAACATAGTCATATTGACTTCTTAAAAAAAAAAAAAAAAAATTATTTTCAACAACTAAAATTCGCATTTTACTATTAAGTAGGTACAGCGTGCAACGCGTATACCATACACTTCGTACCATTACTTTCGAATGTAACGTAGCTATAAAGTACAACTTCCTCGTAATCAAGTACAAGATATGGTCCAGATGCTCTCTTAAAGATCCTTCATCCAGGTAACGAGTGGGATGGAAAATGTTTTACGAGCGCAAGACAAAGTTCGGTTCGCTGCTTTTATTACGAGGATGCATAGGAAGATATCGAAATTTTCCATCCCGTTGAATTTACGTAGGTGAAGTAACGTTGGCTCGGCGTTAATATCAATGAATATGGGATGCTTTGAAAAGGCAGATCATCTACCTTTTTTTTCAGGGTCAAATTACGTAGTACATACATTGTACACGGCATGTATTAAATTCTCGTTAATCGGCTGCTCGGACGTGGAAGCGGATAAACGAAACCGCTCGTTACGCCTTTGTGTACATTATTTTAAGATCCCACAAATTTTATAATCGCCATACCTTATAACGAGTATATACTTTTACGTAATGTATCCATATATGTCACTCGTGTCAAAGTTCACTGACGTGACCCACTTGTACCGCATATGTACATTGGTAATACCTCAAAGGATGTTTTTTTAATCGACATATCATTAGGAATTTCATTCGTTGACGTTACGTACACAGCCTATAGGAACTGCTATATGCTTGATAATAAAATATTTATGATAGGCACACGATGGCTTTGAAAATATTGTTATTTTCTTCGCCACATTATATATTAATTTTCCTAAACGAAACTACGCTGTTGACGTTGGAAAACTTTTTTTTTTTTTCAAAATAATTACTATAAAATTTCGCTGCCTCGGGTATAAGAAAAAAAAAAAAAAAAAAAAAAAAACTAACCGAAAAGTCGACGCTCCATGATGTACTTCAAAGATGACGCACCTGCTCCTCAATTTTGACCTCGGGATTTTAAGAAAAAAAAAAAAAAAAAATGAAAAACTAACCGAAAAGTCGACGCTCCATGATGTACTTCAAAGATGACGCACCTGCTCCTCAATTTTGACCTCGGGATTTTCCGACTTTATCGACGTAGACGCCGAAAAAGTTTAGATGCTTGCAGTTGGGTTATCGGTTCCACGTCCTGAAAGAATTTTCGAGAAAATGTAGATAACGGCTGGAGGTTCGCGACGTGGCGAAGACGTCGTAGGTATGGGGCTTAAGGCTGCATGAAATATCGGGTAACGGCTCAAGGAATGCATATCGAGCAGTTCTGATTTGGAATTATGTCAGAAGCGATAATGCTAATAGGATTAAAAGATGCATAGGAATTTAATATGTATATGCATGCAAGGCATTCGAGAGGAAAAGGGGTTTAAAGCAACATAAACAAGTTTACCGAGAGAATGATGTATACCCTTTTATTTCCTAACAATATTTCCTGCCGGTTATCCGAGAGTCTACGAGAGGCAAAACACAGTCTTTAGTCTTTAGTCTCAATTGTATATATAATTTAGATATAAAGTTTTTGCAGCATCCCCTAAGTTCTTAAGCTCAACGAAATTACAATGGGTTATACAAGGGTCGCCATTTTCCTGGCACTTTACGAAAATTCTTAGCTGGACAAGCGGAAGGAGCGAGGACAAGTTAAAGCGCGACTTTCCACACATCCTCCGCCTCTGGTGTAATCCTTTTCTCTTAGCAAAATCTTATCTTGACGACCAGATATGAACACCGCCGAGAGTTTCTGTATATTCGTCATGATAAATAAGGGCGACCCATTTATACGGGGTTAGCTGGGTCAAAGTGCATCGTGTATTCCAACGCAGTGGCGGTGCAGTTTATACAGCGTTGCAGCAGTAGCAACATACCAATTAGCCGTTTTGCATGGCGACCAGCAGGCAGAGTCGGTATACTCGTTCGCGAAAAACGACCGGCAAAACTTCAGACTCCCTTGGCGTGATAGATGCCGTAATTCATAATACAGAGAATTACTAGGTCACTCGGGACACTCACGTTTCGCGAATCACGAATCGCCTGCCTTCGGGATCTATATTATGCACGATTCTGACAGACTTACCCCAATTGGATTCTTCGAAGGATTCGTGATGAACTTCCCCATGTTGATTGCACGCGGTGGCCACTGGATACTCGACTGAATGATTCTATCAGAACTTTACGAACGTGACATAACCTCGAACCAAAGCATGCCGTTTTGCACAGGTGCGTTCGAAAAGCCGATTCTCCGTTTCTAGGCGAAAAGAGGTCGTACGTTGCATTGAAAACTTTTATTTTTGATTCGATAAAAATAGACAGACTGACAGTTACCTATATTTTTCATGTAAATTTAAACGCGCGACGTCGTGTCGAACCTTCAAAACGTCAGCGTCGTGACAAGCGTCGTCTACTACAGTCTGCAAGTGTCACACGCATCAAGTGAATATTCTCTGTCGCCTTGAAGTTCCTTTTACGAAATTGAACATGGAAGTGCAGAGGGTAAGGCAGAACCTGACGGTTGGTAATGTAACCGCTGGATGGATAATACCGATAGAGTGCGATCTCTCGTTATCCATTCGAGTAATAGACTTCTACAGCGTAGAATTCAGAGGACTTTTCTCAAGGCTTTCTCGTGCTGCAGAATATTCTCGTAATGACGAGCGGACGTTGACGAGTATTTCGGTTTGTGAGTTCACGGTTTAGAAGTTGTGCGACGGACAGGGATGCTTTGTTCTCGTGTCACGACGTAGACGTTAAACAGGTCAAAGATTCGAGTTGGCCCGAAGTCGGTGAAGTTAAATGCGCGAGGGAGTCTCCGAGAACCCATGTGAATAGTACTGCAAGTGCATAGAAATTCTTCGAGAATGGCTGAGCTTACATGACAAGTATGGAGAAGCAGGATACTAATTACTATTCACCTCTTGTACTTCGAGCTAGTTTTTTTTAATAGCCAGACGTGTTATCAGACCAGCTTTTACAATTCATTGGTTTTATCAACGAACGGAATTCACGATATGACGATTTGAATATTTATAAGACTGTTTTTTCTCGGTCTCTCGTCCATAACATTAAATTAACATATTCACCAAGAGACGTCCGATACAACGTCAAAATCCGTTAGCCATTGTTTTCTGCGTTCTGTGAATCCTTAAAATTATTCCCCGTAGTAAATTACAGTCGTTAACGATTATCAGCTTCAATACCAATAAGCGATTCACCTTTATACCTATATAGTGAAAGTGCTTCGCAATCACTTTCCTCAAGTGTGTTGGATCGCCGCTTCATTAAATATTCCGCGAAGAAAGATTTCAGTAACAGTTGAGCCTTCGTCCAAGTACACTTCACTCGATGGGTTGCTGACTTGGTAATTATCAGTGAAGTACCTCGTGATTTAGTCGCCCGTAACAAAGATACTAGAATACATTATCACTTTCCTCCTTAGGCCTCCAGCCAATATTAATGGGGAACGGTACAAGAAAAGTGAGAGCTTCGAGAAAGTCTCCGTCTCCCTCTATAACTAAATAGATTGGTTGGATAGGTCGACAAATAAGTAGACAGATACACGGTACGTCGTCCCGAAAGGATCCTCTCTCCTGTTTCTGCGAGACAATATATTTGCAAATCAAATGAGTAAAAGCCGTCCGAGAGAAGCGACGAACACAAATACACAGATAGAATTTTTTAAGTGAAAAATTCTTGCGGATCGAATCAACAGCAAAGAACATTTTTGTTCGGGTCGTCGCGAAGGATTCTTTAGATCCACGAATGTTAATATTACATTTTTCAAAATAAAAAAATGCCAATGTTCCTCTGAATTAAAATCAATTTCTTTTCCTCTTATACCGTTACGTTACTCGTTCCCTTAGCAGAGCATCCCTCCGAAGAGAATCATTTTTAGCAGCGCTTTGATGTTAAGCGCATTAAGAGTGACAGTCTTCATGCGTAAGTTATTCGTGGTAAAAGGGGCGCCTTTTTTTATACTGCTTTTTTATCTGACCACGCAAACTAGAGCCACGATTCTAACATTGACGTAGCCGTTTTTCTTCGGCTTTACGTACTGCATTTAGTTATTATTATAGATACTGGCGCGTATGTTTTATGAATTATGGATTATCGTGAAATAGTACCAGAACCTATCGCGGTACCCGTGATAGCTCAAGGAGATAGGACATCGTGGTACATTAATTTTAGATCGAGGTGACTCTCTCGTATGTAAAATCATATGAAAGATGGCACCCGGAACGGAAACTAAATGCTCGATAACAACTATATCAAAGGTGAAGAATAATGCAACGATTCCGAAATGGAGGTACGATTCTCACGTGCCAGCCATTTATCCTTTCCTATATATAACAGTTAAATTGTCTTCGAGTAAAAAGTTTTCCACGTAGCCACGTCCCATCGTCCATATCCAAACACTTGGCGTGTAAGATAACATCGTGGAAGCGTAAGAAAGGAGCGAGGGGAATGAGGTATAGAGAAAAAAAAAAAAACAATGGCGTATAATATCTGCCACGCAATATGCGGGAGTGCGCGTAATATAAAACAGACTTGTATTTGCACGATGAAGAAAAATAATAAAAAAATAAAAAATAAAGAACAAATGTAATTTTTTCCATCTGAAACATTTTCGCAATAAACCCGTGACGACAAATCAACTACAGACTGTATAACTGTTACTGGATGCTTGGAGCTTTTTATAAAATATTGCTAATTCTTTCAAGCCAACTTGCGATTCCCTCTATTCCATTAAATTACGAGGGCCAAGAGCAAAGGGCCTAAACCGTGAAATACCCTTCGCTACGAGGGGTCGCTTGATGTATATCTTAGACGCGTTACGTATTCCTTCCCTCTTACTACGATAACGAGAAACAGCGAGGGAAACGAGTTTCCAGGATTCGAATTCCAGCACTGCTCTTCCTGCTGGATAGAAAACGAAAATCAACGAAACGAACAACACTGGCGATTACGAGGAAAGGAGCGAACCTAATCGAAACCTAGAACAGATGTTCCATTCTTTTTCTAGGTTAGGCTGCCAGGAATTTTTCTTTCCTTATTTTTCACTTCTTCGCTCTCTCGCCTTTCAACTTCTTGACATTTGCCTGAAAATTTCCGGCTATCGCTTTAATACTTGCTTCAGACAGATTTTAGATAATATAACGCTCGACGAGCTTACGTCTCTAATCCACGCTTACAACTATAAGCTCACTTGAACTTCCAGATACTCGGAAGTGCGCCACTTCCAATGTGTAGTTTCGAGTCACAGAGGATAAGTTAACTAAATTCAACTTGCTAACTGTCCTCGTGTATTCCTTCCTAAATAACGAGAGAGGCTTTAATCGACTTTAATAGCTCTGGAGCAGATTGAAAAAGTTAATAAAAATCCTACTGTTCCAATATTCATAACTAAAATATAACAGGACAGATAAAGTATTTCTGTGTACCGTCAATATATTACTATCACTGTCAATTTACTCAATCTTAATTCGGAAAGTCAACATTGTACATTTGATGAAGGAATTCATGCAGAACTTCGAACTTTAATATCGCTAAATTTATCCTATCGCTTGTCTTAACTGTTAAGCTATTTTCTCAGTGGAATATGGAATTTACTCGGAATTTTTCAAGTTTAATATTAAAAACAAATATCTAATATTTAGTTTTAACTTACCGACGATGTTGAAATCCACTGTTACACCAGTTCCAAGAGTTCTGATGCAAAAATTTGCCACAGGACGGCAGCACTTGCCGGAGGCCAGCGACCAAAGTTACCGATGACGGGTGACAGCTTGGTATATTATAAAATACGCCGGCTCGAACTCTATTCTTCCCTCAGCTGATTTACTGGGTTATGCGGGACGTCCCTTCTTTCCTCACGTCATCTTGACCACTGCAGCCCTAACTCGCTCCCTCTGTATTTATCTATTTTTCCTATTTCTTCGATCGGGCTATATTTTCTTCGCAATATTACTTTGATATCACTGTCAGTTCCATAGCAAATACGCCAAGGCTGTTTGAGCAGTGAGAAGCCTTGGGTTTGCAGTGGCATTCCTTACTTCGCTATCTAACGGAGCAATGCCATACATCTGCGTTCACTTATGCTCTTACACTTGAAGTCACCTGGTAACTTCTAATTTTATTACTCTCTGTGGTGATTAGAGATCAAGAAGGGATCATCCCCCCATTGTGGATTCTTAAGATCAAGACCAACGAGTTTAAACGATGAGAAAACGAGAGAGTCTTTCGTAGTCACGGTTTGAAATTTTAGCAATCTGAAATTGTTCGTATACACAGCGACTGTAAATAATATTTGATGCATGAGTGAAAATGGCAGCTTTCAGGCAATGTTGACTCTTTGAAATATCTCTAGAAATGCAGCGATCGTTGAGAGCCGTATAGCAATCCAGCCACACAAATCACTCTTTTCCCGTTACGGGCAACGATTCGAGCTCTGCTCTCCGACTCTGTTTGCTCTATATTTTTCTCCTGCTCTGTCTGCTAGAAACGAATGAAGCATGGCATCGTGCTATTTTGAAATGAAGAATGATTACCGTCCGCTGCTACGTGGCTTATACCACTCTTCCCTTCCTTCCTCACTGGACTCACCTACAATCCTTACTCATCCAATCTCGGATGAACTTGAAGAAAAAAAACTTGGCCACTGCTTTTATCAAATGCGAAAGCGTAAAATTCTACTGGGAAACTTTTATACTTCATTTTTTTTTCAATATTGTGAATCTTCCATTTTGATGTTGAAATAAAAATTTACAAAAATTCATACACTAGATATATTTGATTAACGTCTCCAAATGGTTGTAATTAGTAGGCTCGGTAGGAAGCAGATAATTTATCATTACAAATAGAATTTTTCCAAAACCTGCTTCTTCGTGAATTACTATAGAAATTCATTTTGAATTACCCTTATGGGTTATTATTTCCAAGGCACGTTGATCCGGGTCAAATAATTATTGCTCGGTTCCCATTCACCTCTTATTGTCAAACTTTGCCCAGATTACCCCATCCCCAAGGAGTGTATAATAATCTAAATCGAATCCCCCTTTAATCCTCTCAAATTTATTACGGCATCCTTCAATTCCCCTTGCATTATCAAATTCACAAAATTTATTCCTCAAAAAAAAAAAATAAAATCACCAACACCTACAGGATGCAGAATCGATACTCAATATTACTCCAAGTTATCATATAAAAGCATACCGACGCTACTGATCATTTATGACTTACGACATTTTCCAAGCCACGCCGCCGTTTTAACCCGCAACCGATAAAGTTCGAGGCGCAACCGGACACTGTAATATGTGTACATACACCAGTCATCTTGTAACTTTTCCAGTCGTTGACCCCGAGACAATCCCGGGAGTTTAAAGATAGCAAGTAAAAGTTCATGGACCAAGACGAGCAGCCCTGAGAACTTTAACAATTTTCCCTTAGCTATTCGCCTCCGTTTCTACACCTAAGGGAAATTCACTTTCTCTCACGATCCTTCGAGGTTTACCTATACGAGTCGCGTGTAATCAAAACTAGGTGGCGCGCACAAATTACGTATTATCGTACGAGCGTCAAAGTCAGATCCTTATACTGTTTAATGGCGCCAAAAGTAAATAGGAATTGTTATATTATGAACGTATGTCAGAATTGAGAAAGGATGAAATGACTAATGGATTCTAACTGTAAAATATCACATTGGATTTTATTATTTTGAAATATTTGGGGACATTCTGGCATTCGTATATTCTATACAGATTAATGTTAATCAAGTTTTATTTATAACCTCCTGATTCTTATTATTTATAACATTTTGTTCACCACTGCTACGTGTAAGCATTGCAGCTGACTTGTCCATTTGTCTAGTGCATTGTAACGCGCGGCACAAAGCGACTTTTTATCTAATTCGAGCACTTGGTTAACCTGCACTCAAAAAAAGAAAATAATGATGTATATAAAATCTTAATTCTTTCTATATAGATCTCTCAAGCAAGTCTTATATCTTACCTGATCTATACGTCCACGAATGGTACTGTCTAAAATACAAGACACCAAAAGGCTTTCGACTTCGGAGGCGTCGATGTTCAATTCTTTACTTATGAACGGGATGTGAATTCTCGTATACGGCTTTATTAGCTTAATCAGGACCTACGAGTGCCGATTCAAAAGTTAAGTTATTCAAGTAACTGATTTTCATGCGATTCAACGCTAAGGAATACCAGTATAAAAGATATACCAGTAAAGAACATAACAATATAATACCTGAGTTCGTATATTACGTAAAAGGTCCTCGATGTGTTCTCTGATGAATGGATCATCCATTATGTTGTTTCTATTTTGCTTCAAAATTGATTCGAACTGGTTAATATCATTATTTTGATAGCTAACCACTAAATTTGTCATTGCTAGGATTTCTGGATCGTTCTTGTATGGTTTTGCCTCTTGAGAGTCAAATGGATTTATACCAGACTTCATTAACCTGAACAAATTATTTATATTTAATGTTAAATGCGAGACATTACTGTATGTAATATACATAATTTTACGATTATAAATAATTATTTATATATCATGTAACACAGATTACTCTTACATGTTTGCCAGCACTAGGTATTTTAAACATGTGGTACGTCTTGGCGACCCAGATTCATCATAATTTTTAAAGGCTTCAAAAAAGTCAGTGTGCGCTCTCTCAAATTCCCCTTCCCTTAAGTGCATCTTGCCTCCACACTCTGTCAGAGAAAGTGTCATATAATTGCTATTTTCCAGCATAGTTTATTAATTACCATATTATTAATTACCATAGTTATTCTGATTACTATTATAAAGTATATTAAGAGGAAATAAAAACTCCAACAATTTATGTAAGTAGTTCCACTTGCTAAAGTGCTGTTGTAATAATTACCTCTAATAACTCCCATAATAAGAGGGTGAGGAATGGCACTCTTAATGTGAAGGCTTTGTTCATAGAGTGTTTTCAGTTTTTTGTTATTTTTTTGAGCGGTATACATCTGAATTTCGAGTGCATAGATTTCCAACAATTGAGTGCCTTTCTTCAAGTCATCCTCACCATCGTCGGTCTTAAATATAATAATTTCGTATATGATTATCTAATAAACAATCCTACATACTTCACATCTATATACCTGACAACTTTGATGAAGCTGCTTCAGTATTTTTGCCAATTTGTTAAAATCAGATCGATCAAAATACAATTTTCCAAGTTTTGTGTTTGTCTTGAACCACAACCTGTCGTTTTTTGCGTCTTTTAAAGCATCCAAAGTAGTCTCATAAAAATCTTGTAAAAGTTCCATCTAAAAAACGTATGACTATTATATATATTTATGGCTATTTATTTTCAATATATTATAGATTATTTAATACGCAAGCTGTTACTGACATTTTTTGATGTGCTGATATAATCCAGGATAGAATTAATGGACTTTTCAGAGTGATTCCTTGTGACAGCGCTTTTGATGTATGTTAACAACTGTTTATACCTTGTCATCATTTCTTTATAATTTGACTACAAAAATAAAGTATATTATTGTTGTACCTATATCCTGCTATGTTACATCAATAACGTACCAGTTTGAAATTGATTTTGATCATTTGTTTAAGAGCTTTGAATCCCCACTCTCCTTTATCACCTCCTTCCAAATCCAAAACTTTCTGAAAACTCTGTAATGCTGCTTTTGGATCATCTTCCTTCAATGCTTTACTATTATAGTATTGATTTTCTAAATCTACATCTGGTTCTGAATTTGAATCTTCGGAGTATTCCTAAAATAACAGTCACGTTAAACTTAAATTTGTGCTAACCAAAAATAGATTATACCCTCGCCTCTTAACTTTTACCAACAATTAAATATATCACAATTCATATACATAACCAAACCCAAACGTAATTCTTACTTTAAAAAAACATAGTATCATCGAAATATTCAAATACTGAATAAAAATTGATTCTATCCAAGTAATTCCATTCTTTACAAATACATACAATTCTCACATGCTTAAATAACACAAGATATATGGTCTGCACTATTTTTAAATGCTTTGCCTCTTAAATCACAGGACCTAACCTATGAGAAAACCGGGCTTGGAAGTAAGTATTAATATTTTCTACTAGGAAAGTAACAAAAACTTACCAGTCCATAGTCTTCTTCTTCTTCGCACATAAAGTCATCTTCACCATCCGACATTGTGCGAGTCGAGCAAATAATCTACAAAAGTAATATTCTTACGATCTCGATGACAGCCAGAAACTTAATCCCGTTCAAAATTCACATACAAGCAATGTAATGCAAAATGCTAAGCATTGCCTCGATAACACAGTGTAGTTCAGAAACTACTAGCTGGATACAGAGCTGGATACCGGTCTAACATTATGGTATAATCCATAATGAACTACGTTTACAGTTTCTAAATTTCATTGGTCAATGACGCAAAGGAGTGAATGTAATTGGTTGAAATTCAGGAACCACCGTAGTTGATTTTTATGGAATATATCCTTAAAATTACTTTCGGGTAATTTTTAATGTATATTTAGAATCTTGTAGCCTATAATAGAATATTTTCCACGTGTTATTTATCTTGGAAAACTTTGTTTGGTTAGCTGGGTAAAGAGTATAATAAAGTTGATATGTTTCAGACTGTGCGCAATAGCAACGTGAAGAACATATAACGCAATGACAGTCTATTGAAGATTCGACACAAGAGGTAAAAGCGGGCCGGCCCATTCGTCCGTCCATCTCCGCTGAGTGCTGTTTCTGCTGGTACGATTTGATAACGAAAAATCTTTATCAGTGTGCTGATAATTGGAAACCACGTTTCACTTCCCGTATAACGTGTTACCTAAGAAGAAAATTTGGAGGACGTACTACGAACGATTCTGATCTTCATAAATATTTGAAATTATTTCCTTATGGTATAGAGCCCCACGCGCATCTGACAGCTTCCAACTATCCCAGTGTGTACTTCCTTCCCCTTTCCTTTCTTCCTTTTATTTAAGATCTTCTGCAACAAGAGACTAGCAGCACACTGGACTGGTTACTGGGTGTCACTGATCAGCAGTCCTCTATTGCCTTTGAGAAAAGAACACTTCATAGGAATTACAGGTCTTTCGGAGTGAAAGAGACTAGTTGATAGTTGCAGATGACAGAATGGTACAAAGAATTAAATGTGTTATTACGATTGAGTTAATTTCTGTAGATTTGCTTTTGTATGTTTATGGCTATTAAAATTCCTTTGTACGAAACACTGTGTCAAGATTTTGAAATTTAGTTTTTGTTGTGCACATTATGAACATGTCTTATCTAAAACAATTCTCTTATTTCAGACGAGGTGACGTTCGTTCCTGCCATGCGAAACAGGTCGATCGGTTTTATTTTCGCGTCACTACTGGTATGGGCAATTGTGACGTACTTTCTCTTTTTGGATCGACCCATTGGCAAGGAACAGAACAAGGTATAGAGAAACTCAATAGCTAAGATAGCGGTAGTAACACTTTGGATGTCAGGATGAAGAATCATGTTTGATAGTATAACACATTTTTTTCTCTTTTATTTATAGCATAAACTGTCAAATCAGATTAATCAACTAGAGCAGCAAGTAAGACAGGAAATTGCTAATAATGAGGAGCTGCTCCATGATCTACAGGAAACTCTTCAGCAAAAGAGTAAGTATATTTTTCACATATACTAGAAAAAAGTACAGTCTTGAACTCTTTTATTTTATTCTAGAACAAGAGGAAGTGCAAGCCGCACCACCACTACAAGAAATCAACAATGACCCTGAGAAAAGTGAAATTCAGGAAGGGGAACGGAACCAAAATCAAAATGAAAATGGGCATTATGTACTCCAAAGTTCTTCTAACTCGAATGACATCGCGTTATCACCTGTAAAAATACTTTTATATCATTTAATATACATTCTTGGAATTGTTTATTCAGTGCTAATTCATAACGCAGCTGAAACTACAAGATACGGCGGCGAGGAAGACCTTGAAGGATGGTTCCCCGGTCATCGCTGTCCTCGTTTTCTCGTGCAATAGAATAACCGTTCAAAGGTGTCTTGATCAACTGATAGGACATAGGCCGAGCGCCGAACAGTTTCCGATAATCGTATCTCTAGACTGCGATCATGATCAAACCGCAGAAGTCATACGTGGATATGGAGACCAAGTGACGCTCATAAAAGTAACAAAATTTCTAACGCGATATGAAAACTATAAATAATTCTACAATACTCACAAAATATCTTTAAAATTATAGCAACCTGATCAATCGGACATTGAAATTCCACCAAAAGAAAAGAAATTCAAGGGATATTTCAAAATTGCTCGCCACTATGGATGGGCTTTGAATCAAGTATTTCTAAAATTTGAATTCGACACAGCAATTGTTGTAGAAGGTAGAAAACAAAAGCATTGTCTATCAAAAAGTACTGAGTTTCAGATGAGGTAACACTGAAATTATCATTTATATTATTTTTTCAGATGATTTGGACATAGCACCAGACTTTTTCGAGTACTTTCTAGGTACCTATCCTCTACTGGTACAAGATCAATCACTTTGGTGTGTCTCAGCCTGGAACGATAATGGAAAATCGGGTCTAATCGATGAACACGGTTCTCATTTACTTTATCGTACGGATTTCTTTCCTGGATTAGGATGGATGCTCACCCGACAATTGTGGCTAGAGTTAGGACCCAAGTGGCCCAAATCGTAAGGACTATCAGTTAAATTTTTAAGTGCAGGAATCAAATGCTTCATTGCACTTATATGTTTCAGTTACTGGGATGATTGGATACGACAACCGGAACAACGCAAGGATAGGGCTTGTATTAGACCGGAATTATCCCGAACACGGACCTTCGGGAAGATCGGAGTTAGCAAGTATGTCATTACAGAATTTTTTGCATATAAAAAGGAATTAAAATTTGGATAACGCTAACGGTACATTTTATTTTAATTTCAGTGGTCTTTTCTTCGACAAGCATTTAAAGTTTATCAAGCTGAACGATCAATTTGTGCCTTTCACCAAGATGAATTTAACTTACTTGTTAAAAGTGAGTCTGTCAGTATTTACGTATTTTTGGAATAACCAAGCTGTTAACACTATTTCTTAATTTTAGAATAACTATGACAGCGCCTTCGAGCGCGAAGTATATCAATCGACAGTGGTTGATTACACGGAGTTGAAGAGTGGCAGTATTGTCACAAAAGGTCCGGTAAGAATAATATACCACACACGTCAAGATTACAAGCATACTGCCAAAATGCTCGGGCTCATGGATGATTTCAGGGTGAGTTGACCGAATGGCAATTATTAAGTAATAATTCTTATAGTACAAAAGAATCGTATTTTCGCAGAGCGGTGTGCAGAGAACTGGTTATCGAGGAGTAGTCACCTTTTTCTATAATGGACGACGAGTTCATCTGGCACCAAGCGCTACCTGGAAAGGCTACGACAAAACCTGGAGCTAACACTTGCTACGACATTATAGCAGAGACCTATAGAAATTTCGTGCGGGAGCCAACAGTTGCTCGGAACTTGTTACAACGGAGTAAGAAGTTTGAGGATGATGCTGGAGGCATTCAAAACAACATAAACTACGTAAATAAATATTAACCACCAACAGGGATCTGGTGAATTACCAACGAAGCACCGTGTGCCTGGAAACGCGTACCCACTGTTTTATTTTCCATATGTATATATATTATATATAACTAGTTCAGAGGACTTATAAGGAGGCGACGTGTTTCAAAGGGACATCCGTTTACGTTTTACGTTTCCTATGCATTCGCGATGATCGAATCGCCGAAACTTCGATAATTTCAGCTATTCCAAAAAAAAAAGAGAAAAAATAAAGCGTTTTTGACGGTATCCGGCAAGAAGTTTCTTTGACACTGACCGTGACATTTATACGAGAAGATTTAAAGAATGGAGGAATGGCAGTGAAAGGAAGGGTGCGTCGGTTGTCGTTTACTAAATGATAGAAGTATTTTGGCCAGTCGTCTTGCCAAATTTCCGTTAGGCGAAGACTTAGACAAACTATTAGATAAGAACCGGTCGGATATTACATATTGTAAAATTACAGTTAATAAATTATTGATACGAAATTCCCATGAACAATTTTTATTCCTACTAATTAATAGAGTGCCTCCTAATTCTAATGAAAAATAATATACGCGCTGAATGAATCTGATACATCTCGTTCATTTTTATTAACGATTTATATTTCTACGACCCGCCGACAGTTTATCCTTTCAGATCGGATCGCATCGAATACTGCACTCAGAAGAGCGACCGATCGTCGGATCACAATTTTATCGCAAGATAAAGTAATAAACTGGGCTTTACCAATTGACTGATGAACAGTTGCTTAGCTCTGGAATATTCCACGATGACCGTATTTAGGTTTAACAGCTTCTGGTACTGGAGCAGGTGTATCTGGATAATGAGGTATCGGTTCTGGCTCAGGCTTTGGTCTTTTTGTATTGTGAACTTTCACCTCAGTAAAGTACCCAAACGATGGTCTTGGTAAATTCATTTCATCGAGCATGCACTTGTCGAAGACAGATTGAGTCCTTCGGCAGCTAAATAACAATAAATATACCAATGCTATGAATTAGAGAGTTTTTACTTAATATAGAATATTCTATTATAAAAGAAACATACACACTGTAGTCGTAGGAGCTACTGGACTTGTCAATGCAGGTAGCGTACTGATTAAATTCTTGGAGACAGAGTTTCTTCACATTACGAAAGAACTCCAATGAACAAGCAGTTACAGCTTTTCCCTCATTCAAACATTTTCGGGGATCTTTCAATTCACTTTTGCATAATAGATATTCCTGCAAAATGAATGAAATCATGAATAAGTCTCATTGACATATTACTTAACGTTAAAGATTTAATTGGAAAAAAAACGAAAAGTGTACCGAGAATCAGGTTACGTTCGTACTATAACCTTAAGTTGGTGTTACGTAATATCTTGATATATTCACATAAATGAGATCTTATAACGTGCAGGCAGAACAACTAAGATGGAAAGGACTTTTAAAGGGGAATTTAAATAAATAAATTATGCCTAAAGAATGTTGCTTGATATCTCATAAAGACTTACGTTATTCTGATATTCGCAGTACTTTCCCAAGTGGTTAGCTCCTGCCATCAATAAACTCGTGCCGAGGTTTACTTCCTCGACAGTCAATTCTTCCTCCGTAGGAAGTACATGATCCAAAGTTGCCATTTCTAAAGGATTTATTAAAGAATTTATGTAAAACGTCAACTAAAGGACAGCAGAAGACACTGTGCTATCCATTAACCAACTAGACACAAACGTCTCGCGGCCATATGCCATGCGCTACCAAGAGATCCCGCTCTAGTCGCGCGCAATAAATTCCAGAGGGATTTCAAATAGTCCACTTTTTAAAAATCACTTAAAATATATTTACATTTCGTTCCTGAATTTTCTACCCTTCTGTTCCATTAAGACGATACCACAGTTAGATGAAGGCGTATAAAAAAAAGGTTGAAAAGAAAGGAGACATACTCTTGATCAAAGGAAAACTTACGTATAGAAATAACTTTGCCTGAACGAAAATTATATTTAATCGTTTTTATATCTAATTATATTTAAACGTCAAATTTTCCAAAAATTATACAATTATACAGAGTACAGGGGCTGAAGGGGCACAAGGTGGATACGAAGTCTGACGACTATCATCGGCTGTCACGATAGGACAAGAATTTCCAACGATTTAAGTTGTTCATCCTCATATTTATTCTTTACTTTTTCTATCTGAGCTAAGAACTCTTCTATAAAGATGCCGTTCTTCCACTTGCCAACGGGATATCTCAATAATCCAAACGTAAAAGGCCAAACTTCAAAAGTCTACACCCGAAGATTTATAGGATGTCTGTTAGCTTCTCCTGGAACGATTCTCGGCTCTCTGGTATTAAATCGAGATCAGTACGAGTCTCATACTCATCTTCGTCGAAATCAATTTTATTTTTATTTTTAAGTTGGCCAACGTGCTTTAAATAATCCAGGGCAATTTTAAATGTGTTGTGATTCGATGGAATTTCCAATAAATTCGTAGGCACCCGTTTCCCATAACGACTTCCCATGAAGAAGCGATCCCCCCTTGGAGAAAGTTCCACAGCCTTCGACACGAATTTCGTATTTCTCTGATTGGTATCGCTTCGCCCGTAGCTGTTGCCGGACCATAAGAGAGATTCTGCGAAAGATCACACAGAACCATAAGGAGTCAATTCGACGATCTTCATCTAGCAGAATTTTCGACTCAATTGTAAGGATACTCACGGCCTTCAGATTCCTGACGTTTCCCATAACGGCTCTGGGTGTAGAAATTCCTCTGGCAGACGACGATGGAAACCAGAGCGCACCCCAGCCACAACCACGTTAACCATCTTAGAAGATCACCGCTGCCCGTGGAAAAGGAGTTCCCTGCCGAGAGGAACCTGGGGTTCATCATCCGTCACTCTATAACGGAACCAGAACAATCGAACTTCTTTAAGGTATCTCTATGCGGCGCCTATGTATTAAATATATTTAACATAGCTAACAACATAATCCTAAAGATTTCATACATTTATACTAATTATAAATGCTGGCTCCTATCATGTGATTTTTTTTCTTTTGTCAGAGTAACAATTCCGTTCCGTATTAACAATCAATTAACCGTCAATTAACTAGCGCAACACTGACTGATATTAACAAGAAATCTGCTTCGTTCTAACACAGAAACTCTAATCGTTTCCATCAGAAACAAACGCTAAGGCAGAGCAGAAAATACTGTGCTCTGTTTTAGCCCGAAGCGTCCCTTATATAGTCGGTTTGGAGCGCGTTTACTCGACCACCCACAGGATACTTCATCCTCCTTACCCTTTCTCATTCCTCCTCCCGAAGCTAATTCATGTCCTGAAGAGGAGCCATGAGGGCAACGGGCAGCAGAAGGAAGTAGCTGGCCAAAAACAACAATCGGAATGGTCGCAATAGACACTTGCGGATCGCAGACCAAAAACAAGTCAGACGAAGAAATTTTATTCCCGACGTCTCCTGGTCACTAGGTACTTTGACGTCGCGCAACTGACTAAATCGTCAAAGACTCCGATAAAATTTTCTCTGTTAAAAATATAAATATTTTTATAATCCTAGAAAGGGAGATCATCTTCTTTCTGTCTTCAAATCATACCAAGTGAAAAGGAGATTCGACGTCCAGTCAATAGTTACTTTTTGAAGAAATTAACTATAAAAGCCTCCTTGACGAATGAAAGATGTTACCAAGGAGACAGTCGTCGCATTCATTCAGGAGCTGTCGTCTACTATTAGCGGAAATCCATGGTGGGCTTTCTTGGACATTGTCATGTCAGAGCTTATGTATGTCTCTGGTTAATCTTAGTTGAAACACAACAAGATCTAATCTTTCTGAAATCACCATAAAATTAGACAGAACATTAAATTCCCATGTAACAAATTCGCTTTTATGTTTCCTCTCTCTCCTCTTACTCCTCATCCCTTGCTCCTGTGTCTGCCTTGTTTAGCAAAAGGTCACGATATACTTATGTCTATGCATGTATGTATGTGTATTAGTTACCTAAGAGATACGTAAGTCCATTTAACACCCACGACATTTGAGAATAATGAAGACTTGCCAAAAACATGAACATCTAATCCAGGCAACAAAGCTTTTCGAATAATCGAAATACATTTGACGAAGATTGTTCCTGAGAAAGTTTTCTGCAGTGCTGAATTCACCCTCTGTCCGAAGATTCTTTTGGAGTTTCTGTAAAAATGTAATTCGTAAAAATGGCCGTAAGATTCGCGTCAATTTGCAAAAAGATTAGATTCTTGAAAAATGATACACCTGCAAGGCAGCAGAACGACGAAGACGAGGATAAACTTATGGTAAAATTTGAAGACTAAATTTACCATCTTTGAAAAGATTCTTGAAATTTCAAGTCGAATCCATTTTCCCTAATTGCTTTATCATGTAGTCAATATATTACGAAGTGTCTATAAGTACGCAGTTCACTTACGTGAAGGATTGCAAGCTCCATTTTCCCTTTTACGTCTAAAGTTCAAATGGCTGATCTCCAGAAATTGATGCTCACTTGAAGAATCACGGAAGGAAAAGACTCCTTGTCTTTTTTTGGTTTTAAAGAGATATGAATTTCGTTGCTACAAGAAACTCTAATCCTGTATACCTTTTTCAGGAATATGACATCAATATCATTGAGATGGAAGTTCTTCATATAGTAAAACGACTTTCGTATATTCATGATAGTCGATTTTGGAAATTTTACTGCAAGATATCTTTCGATATTTTTACGATTTCTTCTTATGCTATATCATAATAATTTTATCTTCTGAGTGAGATATCCGATCCAGAACCCATGTATGTTATGTCCCTTTTATATCTTCGTATTTTTCCTATTATTGGTACAGCAGGTTAAACGACATCCTACAGATCGGTTAATCAGTGGTTTGTACATCGATAAGAACTGTCACGCACTACCGATCGTGCGTCAATTATCGATTAATGGCTAACTGATTTTGATGCCTAAACATAATAAAAAGAGTAATGCTGAAGCACTGATATAGCAATCGGACCATAGCGTAGTGATAACGTTAAATGTTATTATAAGAATCCACCATACGGCTCTTCAGTTTTTAATGAAAATCTACTATGGAAGCTCTTTTCCTAGAATAGCGACAAGAATAATCTGAAGAAGATTTATGTTGGGATGCTTAATACCCGTTCTATTGTAGTACGTAAACTTGCTTTCGGCAGCACCAGGCAAAGGTTAGGAGTTCGTGAGGCTAAGGTCCGCTGCCAAGTTAGAAGTAAGCGAGGGATTATTAGAACCTAGTGAAAAATGAATGCAGAAAGAGCTGTTGGTAAATTAGCGAGATATCTTCGCTCCAGTTGCATTAGAAATGAAAAAGTAAGTTTAAGAACTGTGTTCATTTATTAAATCATAAATATTTAGAGTGAAAACGAATCTAACCTAGTTAATAAGCTATTGTACATAACTATTGATATCTTCCTGATGTTTTATATATTTTCTGTCTATTGTCATGTTTTATGTGTTTTATAGGTATTACGATTTTCTACAAAGGCTGAGGAGCCTGAGATACCTACAAATCCATTGCGAGAAGTATATAGTGCCACTGGGCAAACACAGAATGGTGTTATATATGACAATAAACCCTTTAAATATCGCTGTGAGGCTGGTAAAACGTATTCTTGGTGTCTCTGTGGACAAAGTAAGTCTCAACCCTTCTGCGATGGCACTCATAAAAATATATTTCTGAAGATAACCATGAGACCCATTCGATTCACTGTCCCTAAGACTAAGGACTATTGGCTGTGTAATTGCAAACAGACTTCTAACAGACCATTTTGTGATGGTACGCACAAGAGACCAGAAATTCAGGAAAAGAAGCGTTAGGGTATCTTTCATTTTTATTCTTGTGAAAATATATTATTAATCTCATTCTTCTAATGTAACAAATTCTGTCCGATGTACAGTGCTTGTTCTAAAAAATCAAGCTGAATACTTAGTCTTTACATTTATTATTTTGTCTTTTATTAAAGTACAAATAAATGATGTGGTTAGAGAACAACAGTGTATTTTATTTCTTAAGACCTCACCATGATAGACATGTATTTAGAATATATTCTTCGGTATATATAGTTTTAAAAAAGTACTAACAGCTGTTCCTATCAGATGAACAGCAAGCAAAAGATAAAGAAGAAAAAGAAAAGATGATTACCGCAAAATCGACTTATTTTAGTGGTTGGATCCATTCGTATTAAGCGAATTTGAATTAGTTCGCCATCTCTGAGGTAACCAGTGAACCTTGTAAACAAGATAAAAAGTAAAATCGAATTTATCGTAGAAAGTTCACTAGTTGTCCCAGAGATGGCGCCACTTATCATGCCCAGGAGGTGCTGAGGTGCACAGATATACATATATATATGGTTTACGAAAGATTAGCAATAACAATACCATTAGAGATATATTAAATATTTCAACGCACTATAATAATATACAAATTGTATGTTATATGCGCTACCATTTTGGACTTTTCCTTTTTCAAAGGACATTTTAACAACTTAGTTCTTAATGATATACTAGGAGGAGAGTAAGGGAGACATAGGAAAGAATAGGAAACTTAAAAATAAAGTAGAAAAGTTTGGTGGCAGCAGACAGGGAAGATATTAATGAAGGGAAAAAGAGGAAGATTGTTAAAAAGAAAAAGTGAAGAAGAGAGATGGTAAGGACTGAGGGAACAAGAGGAGAATAAGATGCGTAAAGCGTATGCACGAAGACCAGATTATTCTGGAGGATCGAGAAAAGAGAACAGTAGAAAAAGTAGGAAAAGTAGGAAGTATAAGAGAGCGAAATGGGCCCCACCCCGCCCATTTCCGTGAGGTCCTGCCTCTCCTGAAGGTAGCTACGACCCCTCCGAGGCCCCATAAGGGACCGTGTTTTTTTTTGTTTTTTTTTTTATTGAGGAAAACCCCCGAGTCCTGCGGCTTTCGCGCACAGGACTAGGGGGGAAAAACCTCAGGAAGGAAAGGAAGTCGGGTCGAGGGACAAGAAAGACGCACAAGGGGGTAAGGTGAAGTTAAACGCGAAATAAAAAAATAAAGAAGTTAAAAAGTAGAAAAGTAAGTAATAGGGGTATAAAGATAGAGATTAAACAAGGAAAGAGATAAATAAGAAAGTAAAGAATAAATAAGTATAGAAAGAGAAGAAGGTTGGAAAGGGATAAGAGGATTAATTCAAAAAGACCAGTATAGGAGACCGGCTCCAGGAAGAATGAGCGCTCAGAGTCCGGACGCTGCCTTCGGCGCTCCCCCCACTCACCGAGTCCAGCACGACGAAGTTTCGCACAACTTCCAGTACTTCTAAAAATTCTTGGCCAGGATTTCTGATTTGCAAATGTTAATATCTAACTTTATTGATTCAATTAATTATTTTAATATTCCAAACACTTAATTTATTAATATTTCAATTTGAGCGTAATTTATTTTCGACATTCTATGTACATACAATTTCAATTCAGTTTTTTATGAATATTTCTAATTACTGTATAGCAGCAGCGGAACAATTAAGAAAACTTAAGGAGCATTTAAGGAGCAAGTTTTTAGGCATCAACAAATAAATTTTTATCTTCCGACGCTAATTTTCCGACGGTGGTCGACACGTGTGCAAAGTGATAAGTTATGCTATAATACCATCTGTCTAGAAGTCTTATCAAAACCAACTGATACTATTTCACGTTTCAAAAAAACCATTTATCAGACAAAAGATAAATTTTCAGTGCTACCGATATCATACGTAATTATCCTTACGCAAATGTACATTTTCCTACTTCACTTTAATCGCTACCAAAACAAACAGCACCTTATTAAGCAATAATATTTCTATTGAAACAGTCCAATCAGAGATAAGACCTATAATCGATAAAATCAATAGTTATACCTAGAACTGTCAAATAGCACGGACAAAGCCTTTGTCCGTGAAGATCCTAAAACCATGAGAATTTCAAAAATTTGGAAACTAAAGCAAGTAAACAAAATTTCTATTCTATGAATCCCGTTGAAAAATAACAAGTTCAATTCGAAACACAATTTATAATGAACAGTAAAATTTAAAAATAAAACGACTAATTGGATCATAACCAAAAGTCACCAGGAATCATTTAGCTGTGCCAAAGGCAAGACCCTGTCTGACAATTCTCAGCAACCAAGCACTACCTAACTCACGTGTCGGAATTGGTACGTGTAACGCGCAGGTAACGTCTACCTACGAACGGTATTGAAAAGTGAGGTAAATGCACTGTTGTAGCGTGCAGCGACGAAAAGATGGAGTCTGCGCCGTTAGACAGGCGACCAGCAGACTCGTGTCCGACTCTGCGTCAATCGCGTGGTGCCGTTTCATCATCCACTTCCACAGCTATTCAGCCAGACTTTACGTTTCGGTGTTCGCTCACTTCAGTTCCGTCAAGAAACAGAAACAACGTCCCTAACAGTGCGGACTGATCGAGTCAGTGAATTAGTGTACTTGACTGACAAGTTAACCTGTAACAATAGCCTGCAGCACCGTCGACCCACCGGCGCGAAATGACAGAGAAAGCCAAGTGTAAAGTGCCACTAAGCAGTGTTGATAATCATTTGAGTCAAATACGATAAAGTGGGAGTGAGTCGACTGGTCATTCGACCGAGCTGAATAATCGTTAGACTCGATCAAGTTGAAGTTTGTCGGGAGGGAGCGACATTGACTTGCGAAAATGTCTGATCCCGATCCTCCGAGTTTATTAAATGGGGGCTCGCCACAAGGAACGAGCGCCAGAACTTCGTAAGCACTGGTACAAATTGTCTCGAGTCTGTCAGTTGATTCTTGAACGGCGTAGAGGAAGCATCGTCCTCGATCCTTAGGCCAATTTTGTAAATATAGTTCTAATTATTGACAAAGCTCATTTTCATGAGTATACTCTGTGATATCAAGAAGCATTCGAAGGACTGATTAAATAATGGAAATTTCGTAATGAAGTAAATGGCCATTTTCTTTTCCCTTTGATACTTTGAAAACGGGCTGTGTTAGCAAGTATTTATAACCAGTGTGAGTCCTCGCCAAAAAAGTTTCGTACACGCGCCAAATTAAGGAAACAAATATTTAGTCATCGTTCGACGAGATTATATCCTTACGAAGATGGAAGCTGGACTTTGGATTTTCGGCTATGGATCTTTATGCTGGCATCCTGGCTTTGAATTTGAAAAGAGTCTCACCGGCTTTGTTAAAGGATTTGGCAGAAGATTTTGGCAGGGAAACACGACGCATCGCGGGACTAAGGATAAGGTAACGAAGCCTCTGATCATTATTTTTTATTAATAACTAAAACTATTTATATTGTGATAAGACTCTCATTCAAGTTACGCTTGGCGTGCTTGTGTGTGAAATCCGGAACGAAGAGCAACACTGATTTCTTCTAGTGACACGATTATTAAACGCACCGTTCTATCATTGAGATCTTTAAAGAAAATAAGAAATTAATACAGAAAAAAAGAAAATACCGTCTACCCGATCCGATTCTGCCAAACTCACAGCTCGTTAAGAAATTCTGAAATTGGTCTGTATTCAAAGTTCATGGCGTGCGTCATTTTCGTGGAACGATAATAAAGTAAAACTTCAAATAGATATGCATTACGAACGTGGGATAAGACAGTCTATACAGTAGAGTGTTTATATATTAATTTTCTTCTTTCTATATGCAGAAGCACGTACTGTCCATTTATTGAAATCGAGACTGAAACTAGCATTTGTTACAATGAAAAGGTGACCAAACTTATGAAAAGCGAAATCCATACCGACCAGGGGAATAGAATTACATTACAAAAGGACAGAAAAGTTATACTGGAATAGGATAACTGACCAAGGTATTGGATAACCAGAACACTGTAGTACAGAAGGTCCACGTAAAGCTAAACTTCTGAGTGGACCTAACCAATTCACCTTGGAGTTACTGGAATTAGTGTTCTTCAGGGTCTTCGCCTAAGGGCTCCCTTCGTTAGAGGATTTTAAACGTCATTTTATATGCATACACAGAATAGTTTCGCACAGACTTTTGCCAACAGTACTTTTCCATTGTGTATCGTTTGCTACCTGATTGGAATGCCTAGAAGAACTCTTGGCACGTTTTTCACAGATACCAACTTAGTGCATATTTCCACCGCTCCAAGCTTCACGTGTGCTTTGTACCAATTTGACCAAATTCATGATTCGTAATAGCGATTATTCTACTTCCTGTCATCAGGATCCATTAGAGGAGGGCTACAGTAGATATACGTGGATGGCGTAGCGATAGCGTGATCTTTAAACGACATGAATTGCCACCACAGAATGATGCTGAGTATCGCAACATGTCTATGGTACTCGGAGAATAATTTCGAAAGGAAAAATTGTGGTTTATGGGTCTAGATTTTGAAGTACTCTCGCATGGTAAACTATTATCTTCTGCCCACTGTTTATGTGAATCTCTAAGTTTCCTAAGTACGGCGGAGAATCGTCAGAGAGCGCCATCGTCGTTCGCTCCTGATTATACAGCAGGCAACAGTCCCGTCTGGAAATAAAGAGACGCGAAATAATCTATAAATATTACGATTATTTCTCAAGCTTCCACGATACCGGCACGTGAAATCGTCTCAACGTTTCGCTAGCTCATTATCGTCCATATGTAATCATAGAGACGCATTCTAGCGCTATTTTATAAATAATTCAAACGCTACATTCCATAGCTTAGGACGCACCTAATTTCGCAGTTAGGACATTCCATAAGAACAGATGACGAGCTGTGGATTTATTCGTGGTCCCATTCAATTTTTTATTATGTTATTAATGAAAATTGTTACCGGCAGAATTCTTATTGCTATGCACCAGTTGTTGTAATGAACAATTTTTTTTTTCAATTAGACTCATACTTTAATTATCAAGGTGGCCCAATTAATCGACTGTAACGACCCTTTCCAGCCTGAATGGTTAAGTAATTACAATGTCAATCATGGAATAGATTGGTTTTAGCGACCGTGGCCCAATTCATTTTATTTAAAAGGCCCCAAAATTGACATATTTGTTAGACAATGATGAACCGAACGACACAAAGAATATTTAATGATATTCTGCGTCAACGAGGTAGTTGGGCAAAACTTTCATTTTCGATGACCTGATATACTGATATGAATCGACCGTACGCATATGTGTTTACATAGGAACATTTTAATCTTGTAAAAGCGATTAGAACGAGCGACCAGTGATCTTTCAAAGAACTTAGTGCACTAGTCAGTGATTCTCAAACAAACATATATGGCAGTGTATATTTTTAAATTACATTTACGTTATGTATACGGTGCGTGTACTTTGCCGTTTACGTAATAAAGACAAACACCTGTTGCGTCCATATTATAGGAAGACCGCAGTGAATTTCTTTACCTGCATCAAAGGAAACGACATTCGCGCATGATGCAAGCGTTGGCAGCCATTTATTCGAAAGAATTAAAAAACCTAAAGGAATTAAGGGTGGCTTCCGCATTCCTCGGGAGCATGTGGACTGCACGTAACAGACGCCTTTAGTGCGCATGACATTGCGAGGAAAATTTAGTTATGTATTTAATTTAATTTGGCGCGCGCTCGTGCCAAGGTCGTCATCGTGATAGCTATAAATAAAAAAGTTATTTTGAAAATCCCGCTTCTTTCGGGGAAGTTCACCGAACTCCGTCCAGAACGCTGACGTTGTAGATGCCTCTGGCGAACAAAGGGAAATTCACACGAGCAAAAATAATCGCAAAAAGGTTTAACGAAATTTTTGTCTTTATTGTTGCAGCCCGGACGCGTGGCGACTCTCGTCGAGGACAAAGATGTGAGTTTAGAAAAAATCTTACTGCTATCTTCACTCATTGTGCATTTATTTGCCTTTAATTTTTCTCCTCCGTATCCATAAGTAACCAGATTATACTAGAAGCTCGGACGTGATAAAGTAGCTTTTGCACTCGAACTATTGCAAGTTCCCTGAATGTGTGCTATAAGGAAGTCTGACGACCCTTAGAACCAAGAACCAATAACACATTCCGTTATACTTATTCCTTTTAATCGACTTTCATATGAAAATTATCAGTCAGATTGTTTTTTTGTTTACGCCAATGATTCTTTTCGAAAGTCGACGATAAGAGGACGGAGACGGAATTTCATCAGCAATTTTAAAGAAATTCATTATCATTATCTTGAAACTCGTGAAAATAAAGATTATTTCTTGATATTTGTAGGGCATTGTCTACGGCCGAGCTTTTGAGGTCAAGGGGGAGGCCGCTCTGCCATATCTGGAGAGAAGAGAGTGCACGCTCGGAGGTTACCTCTCGATACTAACCCATTTTCATTCTCGTGACGGCACTCGAAATTTTCCGGTTTTGGTTTACATTGCTACGAACTTGAATCAACATTGGCTTGGCGAGGCTCCACTTCACTCTATAGCGCGACAAATAACCGAATGCTCCGGACCCAGTGGACATAACGTAGAGTATCTGTTGAGGCGAGTACAAATGAAACATATATTATACCGTACATCGATAAAGAAGGAATCCTAATTTTGTGTCTTTTACAGACTAGCAGATTTTATGCATCATCATCTTCCTGAAGCCCACGACGAGCATCTTTTTACATTAGAAATACTTGTTAGAGCAAGAATCAAGGAGCTTAATCTGTGCCTAAGGACACTTATGGGCAATCGGGAATTTCACATTGAAATTACTGAGGATGATATCAATCCTGCTGACAATGAGCATGACGACGAGAACAATATGCTGAGACAAGACTCGTTTCAATATATATCACGAGTACCGCCAAAGACTTTACGCTGCTTGAAAATGTAGACAATTTTTATATTTCATTAATGCGACTCTGTGGATAATGCCGGACATTGATAAAGCAGATTCGTATGATGATTCAACTATCGGTAAAGAAAGCCGCTACTATATATATTAAATACGTTATTATCGACGGAATGAGCTCTTGCAGTGGGAATGAAAGATAAAAAATAACCCTTTATCAAAATTTGATTGACGAGTACTCTAAAATATTTTGTATTTCTTATTATTTCTTTTGGCTGTACCAGATTTCAGAAATGCGGCATTTAATTACGAAACGGCATATGGAACCATGGCAAATTTTGTGATGATTGTCTATTCCCTCAGTATTGCTAGATGATAATCGCGCGAGCCTCAAGCGGACTCGAGAACACTAACCTCATCCGAATTTCACGGATTATTTTTAAAAATTTTATAACTTGTACATATTAATATATACGAACATACATATAAATTAATATACTCTATAGTACACATGTGTTTTGCTCTCGAAGTATCCTGGCGGATCATTCTGTGATCACTGCCTTAGCCAGGTGTAAACGCCTACGAGTCACGCGTCGTTCCTAACAAACTCGTACGTAGAGTTCGATTAATTTTAATTTATAAATTTTTATTGCTTTAGGCTGTAAGCTACTGTACTTATAAGATTTCACTTTTTATCTTCTTATCAAAATGATCAACATGAATGGTTCAATACAAGGATTTGTGGCAATTAACAATTTTCATTACAAAATCACGTCGTCCTTCACCTACCATCTCCTTTACCTGAACACCACAATTTATTAACACGTAAGAACTACTGAATTCCCACTGAAAAAGAATTCGAACCATGAAATGTCATAATAATTCTTACCACGATCCCTGGGGTAATAACGGAAATAGGAATGGGAGTCGAAAAGGGATGTAAATGGTTACGTTATCCTTGCGGAAAACTATCCCGGAACGTCGTCTGTTTCTCGTCGCACAGGATAAGTGCCGAAAAGCATTAAGCCACCCATCCTACGGAACGATGCTCCCCCACGTACCAGCCTTCCCAGGACAATCCCTTTTGGTTTCGACCAGTAAGTTTTTTTCCTTAGCCAACACAGCAAGGATGCGAGTCAAATTCAAAGCGACACCGTGACCCAACGAAATTTCTGATTACGTGGCACAAGTAAACAAAAAAAAATATACAAATTGATTCCAGCAAAAAAAATTTTCAATCCGCACGACTTTCTCACAATTTCTTAGGGCAGGAGTACTTGCCGCTCAATTTTTTATTCTTTTTATCCCATCTCCCGCATTGCTCCAAGCTACTGGACTTAACGGAAGGAAGTCCAAAGAGGACTGTACCGAGACAACGATGAGAGTTCATTATTTTCGCTCGGCAGTTCGCTTCGTGCCGTTAATGGGGGTTCGCCAAGAGGTAACGTTATCCCCGAGATACTTACGCTTTATCGCCGCGGTGCGTGACGAACGTTCGTTCCGTCCGAGCTCGAGTGGGCTTCCCTGGGTTCATCTGCCGACTTCCACATCTTCCTCCCTAAGGGCGCCCTAACGCTGGATCCTCCGGCCATCCGCATATCGTCCTCGTGCAGCAGCACTTTTCCCGTCGAAGTCAAGAATCAGTAGCGTGAAGCAGCCTTGTATATTTTTGGGATTTTATTTTCTCTGGCTCTACCGTGGGAATGCTACTTTGATTTTTTTTTTACTTTAATCTTATTTCCTGGATATTATTATTACTATTATTATTTACGGGACATTTTTTGGACTCCCTCCGCGTTATGCACTTCGTGCCTATCCCACCCACTTTATTCACCCTCGAGTTCACGTTAATTACCGGACGAGTGCGTTACTACCTCGCCAATTAACTTGGGAGAAAGGAGAATCGAACGATCGACGCTCTCTTGCACGGGTTATCGGCCTCTTATATAATTTTTTTAAACCCTTTTCTTTGATCCGCTTCTATTTGCATCTAAATACCCATGTAGGATATATATAAATAACGCAGATAGCCTATCCTTAATTAATATCCCGGTAAAGATCTATTTTCAAATATTATACGAAAAAATTTGTCTACTTAAATAAGAAGAAACAAGCTGACATAATTAAGCGTAACAAGTATCAAAGTATCAGGTGAGCAATGTAAATAATAATACGGTGCACTGAAGCGGCTGGCGGTTTGGTAGTCACGACAATACCAGAGCGAGAACTGCTAAAGAGACACAAAGTGATCGGCGAGCGAGCGAGCGAGGTTTCCTAGCATCTCAAGCAGGATGCGAAATGGTGGCCACGGGTGAGCGTCTCTTTCGTCTCTTTCGACTCGTTTGCCCGCCGGCTGGCAATGCTACCTTCTCGCGAAATGCCATGCGTCACGCCAGCATCGCTCACCTACCCTTCTGTACCCTCTGCAGCACACTGGGACATAGGAGTCCGCGAACTCCCCGACCCGGGTCCCAATTATTGACTGTAACGTAATTCTTTTAACTTATGACCCGACACCGATAGCACAACATACGAGAACGACTATCTGCGAGAACCAACCTACGTGACCTTCGGCCGTCCACCCGTCGTTCGTGCATCCGCAAGCCAGGCGGGCGCCAGCCAATTCTTTTTCCACCGGGAACTGACGAGCCGGTATAAACTGGGAGTTGGGGTGGAACAGGCCCAACTCCGCCAAGAACGAGAACTCTGACGGAACCTATCGGACGAGGCGATAGCTTAACGGATCCTGTCGATTTTTGGGGACGCGTAAAATCAGCAAACGCTGATACACGAACACGAACGGGAGCGGACGGTTACGGAAATGCACGGCCGCTCAGGTTGCTAGGTTTGAGGTAGAGAGGGTCGGAGTAAGAGTCCGGCAAATAGTGCGAGAGACAGAGAGCGACGAACCGAGAACGTATCAGAACGAATCTTAATTGTCTATCGAGATCCCTTCACCAATTAATAAATTGGGAATTCTCACCGGAGCTGGTGCAGCTAATCCGTGGAGGTCGAGAAGTGCATCCAAAGGACACTGGTGAGCACTGCACTAGGGCACAGCACTACACCTCCGTAACACTCACAGGAATTCATAGAATTAGATCCTTTCACCAATTAATAAATTGGGAGACTCACCGGAGCTGGTGCAGCTAATCCGTGGAGGCCGAGAACTGTATCCAAAGGACACTCTGGTGGACACTGCACTAAAGCACTGCACTACACCTCCGGAAGACTCACAGGAATTCATAGAATTGCCTGGATATCGCGAGAACAACGCGAGAACTGTACGAAACGAGAACTTGCTATACCGTAGCGAAACACGGCAAGAAAAACTATCAACAGATAGCACGGGAGCGCGATGTCCCTCGTGACACCTCGGTCGGTGACCCGAGACAGACTGCTTTAAAGCAGTCGATTGACAATAGCCAAATCCGAGAACTAATCATTCCGATTGGTCGAGAGCCTTATAACCGATAATTTTTCTATGTCCTTCGAGTCGTCCCTTTAAACCAAATCGAGAGCGTTCCTTAACGAATCGGTACGTAACTCCTGGAGATCCTCCACGGCCGCTTCCCCAGGGCATCGGGCGACAGCTGGGCACCACATCCTCAACTAGGGCAGGAGGTTCCTCTCCTGCCCTTAACCATATCAAAACTACCTCCGCCCGCTCTACAGCCCTTTTCCCAGCCCGGGCTTCTGCCGGTCCGTGGAGACGTCTCCGTCGGGTCGCCTCCTCTGCCGGGCAACTCGGTACGTCGAGACCATCTCCCCACGGCAGATTCGAGCACCTCGACCTCAACTAAACACTAACGAAATCTCACGAGAGCCTTGACATAACTGTACGAATCAACCCGAGAGCGTAGCTTCTGAACAGGGTGGCGACCCGAAGGGAACCAGAAATCGAGAACGTTATCTGTATCGTTAACCGGAGCCGCCTTGGGACCGTGATTCGAAAAATCACGTCACATGACATAACCTGACCCAGTATCCTAGGAGGACGACGCGGAGGCGACGAGCTCGTTCATTAAAATAGACTGCAGCGCCGTGAATAAATAAGATAAACTTTCCCCATACGCAGAAACTATATCTATAAACTGGTAGAGATCGAGTAAAGTTCCAGGGGCCTTATAACAGGGACCCAAGATACGACAGAAGAATGATCAATAAACGCCAGATTATATAAATCTTATCGGTACCGATGATTAAAATCAATCAGGTAGTATACATCAGCCGGGAAGATGAAAATACCAAGGAACAGAATGGGCCCTATTACATCAGACCCCAAGATCAGTCTTTACACTTCATACGTAAAAGGGAGAGAAATGAGACAATAAAAAAAAAGATAAAAGGGAAGAGAAAAAGATCAAGATGAAAAATATAAACAGCCCCCAGGCCGCAGCAGCAGGAGCAGACTCTTCGCATTGGAGAATGTGTAATTTCGATCAGGCCCAATCAGCCAGTCAGGTCGGCCCCTCAGCTCCGCCGACACTGGCCTCGGAAGCATTCCGATACGAAGAAGCTCGTCGTCGCGTGAAAGTTGTTCGCCTCCTCGTTCTCCGCCGTTCTCCAGGTTCTCCTCCTTCGCCGGCAACATCTCCTCGCCTCGTTCACCTCCGCGATCCACGCCGAGCACCCGGGTATCTACGCCAAGAGTTCACGAAGCTCCTAGTCTTCTACATGGCCAGGATTTATCCGATTGGGACTCGGCAGTCTGCAGCCACTTGTAATTGGTACTGATCTGAAAACAAACGAACTAGAATCCAAAAATAGAAAAACAAAAACTATCCAAGAAAGTGTCAGATACCTTTTTTTATCATTAGTTTCCATTGCCTCCCCCTCCCCGACACCCCCCCGTCGCCCCAGGCAACCGCCCAACCCTCCGGCAGGACACCATTGTTACCACTTCTTTTTTCTAACTGCCAATATCACATAGCTTTGTGTTTTCTAAAGGTATCTACACAGTCATGTAATGGTTAACGTGAGCCGGGGCCCGTGACTCATTAATTTTGGTACACCTGTGCCTCTTTTGGGCCCCTTATGACTTTGTATGCATATGTGTATATATATATAGAGAGAGCACGAGAGAAAGAGAGACGAGACGTCGGGCACACAGTCGAATACGTCTGTAGTCTACTACGTCTACACGTCTATCGCAGCCCGACCTCTCGTATACCAATCTTGTGGTTAGAATGACTCTACGCGCGACCAAATTAAAACTAAATACCAAGCCTCTTATCCGGCTGCTGGCTTAATGGGACGATGTCAGATAGGCCAACGCAACCAGAACCAGATACTCGAACCGGTACCGGACTCGGTTCGTGCGGCAGGTGGATGACGCAAGGTAGATGAATCTGCCTTTTCTCTTTCTTTAACTTTTATATGCATCTTCAACAAGCCCGTACCGACAGTTTTATACGAACGGATACAGTAGGCCGATTAAATATTGCAATTATAAATATTCGTACTTTGACGAGAAAGTCCAGCGGGATCTTATACTCTACAAGATACGGTAGTGCTGATCGACTATTACGCAGTGCTTTGTTATTCTTTGTTACACAAGTAGCATAATTGTTAGAAATAATAAAGGAGAAGTGCGTGATAGAAAAATGACATCGGCCGTGAGAGAAGCGCGAAAAATGAAGGAGCGCAAATATAGAAAGGAAGGTTTATCATTTTTATCTGTTTTATCCTTCTAGTCCTGACGCTGCCAGTGCCTCTCGTGTTTTCTTCTATATTTGTAGACGCCATAAATTCGCTATGGACATATAAATACAGTACAGTTTCATATAGCATTTATACCGTTCGAATGATACAGATATGGAGGGGCTGATATATAACTGATATATACTCACCGACGTGTATGAGAATATCGGCGTAACGAGCAAACAGCAAGCGAAGTACCCATCCGTGAGATCCTGCAACGCATCCTTCAAACCAAAGCGAAAAGCCACTTTACGTAAGCCACGCTGTTTTATTCCGTTCATTTATGTAATGGCAGAACAGTTCCGGTCCTCGCAGACCCAGGCCAGGTCCCCTTCTCCTTCAGGGTCTCTGTCCATCCATATATCCATCCATCAGTCCGGTCTCCATTCTAAGTGACATATAACTACTCCATGTGTACGTATTATATATATATATATGTATTTGTTCGCAACTCCTACGGAGTGGACACTTCTTATTCTTACCTTGCTATTTCTTATCCGGCATTGTACGTTTGTAATAGACGGTATATATAAAGCGTCGGGATGACTCAGGATACGGGCGTTGAGTAATAGAGATTGCATTGACTAATAATAACAAGAATAACGGCGAGCTGGAAAGTCATAGTCATCGAAAATCGACGAGGACAGATCGGCGATGATAGTTGGCATTAATATATTGGAAGATTGGTATGGAGGACCGACGCTCGGCGTCGGTGCGTGGGGAAGACACGAAGCGCCATCGGTATATACTGTCTCTTCCAAAGATGGCAAAGACCGGTAATAAATTGCGTGGGAGTTACTGAAAAGAGATAGAGATAGATTAAAAAAAAAAAAAAAAGAATAATAAAAGATCTCCATACCGCAAATAGATGTGCGGTTATGATGATGACGATGATGATGATGCATCATGATCGTGCATTGCAGTACCACTTGGTCATCAATGAGAGAATTCATTTTCTTAGTAAATTATTAGCAATATGATTTTTTTTTATCGAGACCAGCCTCGATGGTATTGAGTGTACGACTGTTTTGCAGATTGAAATATTAGTATTGATATTAAGATGCTTTCACACAGTATCTTCAGAGAGTCTACATTGGATAGCAACAGTGGCGTAATGCGTCCCAAGTCGACTACTGCACCTCTTATAACTTTTTGCAACTGTCATCCATATTGCACTGTTGGTAATGGGCCTACGTAATTACACGTGTGTACGATGACACTAAATTACCCAGGAAGACGCAAAGGAGCGTCACGTGCTTCCAATGATACTTATGACAGTGCAGTGAAGGACGATGACAACGATGCTATGTATTATCAGACCCATCTATGGGGACCCTAGGGAAATAATGTTGGGCCGCCTTTGGATCCGTTTTATTTAAATGACCCCAGCAGCCTCTAATGTCATCTTTCTCTGCCTGCACCTTCGTCTACCTGACCTAACCTATCCGATCCTCAGGGCTCGTCCTCGTCCTCGTCTTCATCCTCGTCTCAGGATGCTGAGCAGCGAACCGTTAAGTTTCGATTTCTTAAAAGTAGGAGAAGCTTTGCATAGCTAATGATAGCTGTGCCGCATCAGCATCGGTTGGGACTATAGCAGCCACGTGTGCCAACTCTGGGCTAGATTATGCTGCCCCGACTGTCTCTATAGTGTTTCAGTACTTCTGTCGCTACGTGTATACGGACTTTAGCTTGCCAGTTGAGTTCCTGTACTGTGTGTATATGCAGAGAGGAGCTGAAATGTCAGAAAGAGAATTGGCCTGGGTGAATAGTCGCCAGTCATTTTCTTTTCTCACTGTTGGCTATGGTTATGCATACATGGAATATATAACTATACATGGTGTTTAGAGAAATAGAAAAAGGGCAGATGTTACCTTGGATTACTTGTCAAATATTTTAAAGATCGAGGCGATACGCTTTTCTTGCTATTGACCCAAAAGTACCTTCAGATGATAACTGGTCAGATAATATCTTTAGTTCTGGTTAATGTCTCGTTAGAGACTTTGTAATTGGCTTAGGGCTTTTTCCCTGCTATACGTGGAATATTGAATAATGAGTAAAAGGACAGATGGAGCCTCATTTCTTTTTGCGTTATCGGAGTTTTCACTGAAAAAGACAAAAATGGCTTGATGCACTCGATACCTTAAGTAGCGTTTAATCAGATAATTGAACTCACGTAAAATCCATTGATACATCCACTGTTCAGTGATCAATGAACATAGCCTAATTCGACTACCGGTCTCATCATAATGGCAGGATCGTTTCGGGTGGAAGTTGCATAATTTGAATCGTGGGAACCGATTAGATCGCATCCGGCGATTAATTTTGATACATCATTTTTTTTCCAAGAAACAAGCAGTCTTCTGGATACCTTCGCGTCTTTCTTTTTCAATTTGCGTATCGCCCCTACCGGTCTTTGATCTTGCGCAGCCTTGCGAATTCTTATCACGCCGAATCTGATGGCATTAAAAAAAAAAAAGAAATATGTTTATTTCCATCAGATTCCCACGGATCACCATAAGTATCCCATTCTCTTCACATAGGTAAACCTATTTGCTCTGGACAGACGTATCTATATGCAATACACATTCTCGGTACGCATTACCTATGTTTGGATACAGCCAGGTATATACAGTGCTATACAAAATAGATTGTCCCGCTTACAGCGTGCGGACGCACCTTTAAAATATAAATAGGTATACATAGGCGCCGCTCATATGGCTTATCTTATGGGTTTATATATATCTATATGTACTATTAAGAAGATCTTACTTATGGTGTAAGTCGCGTATGTCGAGAAGAACTTTCACTTGCCCTCCGGTTAAGGTAGATGCGAGTAATCTTAAAGGTATTCTTAAAGCGATGCTCTGTACCTTACCTCAGTCCTTTTTCTCCCTTTTATCCCTTTTTACTTCATTCTATTCTCTCTCGTTATTCTTTCAGGTACTACAAGTGCTCGCCACCTTCTGCAGCCACCTCGGGCATCCCCATTTAGCATTGCAGAATGATCCTGCCGCGATTAGGCGAGCGAGTCTCGTTTAGCGATTGAGAACGAGATTCAGTGGCTACAGGCCCTTTCATTCTGCAAAACCATATGATTATCGAATAAGAATTTTTTTTAATGAAAATCCATTGTATGCTAGATAGAATAAAAAATGTGTCGTTACAAGGTCTCTTGCATTTTTTTTTTCAAATAGAATAATTATTAGTTAAACGTTTGACGAGTTACGTATTTCTTATCAGTGACATTTGCGTAATCGTGTTAACGATCTCGAATGATTTTTAAATAAAATAGATATATACCTGCCACGCAATAGGTATTCCTGTTTGTAGTAACGCAGAAGCAGGCGCTGCACATGTCGCTGGGAATTTATAAGACGGCGATTTATCTGAGCGATATTGGCCGCGTCTCACAGCAAAGTCATGGAATTACCAAGTCTTATGCTGCAGGAATACTTAACATATCCGGTTAAGGATCTTGAGGAGGATTCTCGATCGGAGTAAAAGGTCCTTGCCGGGTCTCCTCTTTATGTATCCTATTTTTTCTCTCGATGTTTGTTCTTTATTTTTTTGACCTCTCCGCCTCATCGTGTATATCTATATACACCGTGACTCTTCTCACTGAGCTACCTGGTAGTCCAAGTGGAGTTTCACTTTCTGCCTGGCAGACGATTGCGGTGTCGTTAAAAGGTAACCGCGTTTACGGCTCGCGGATAAACCCGGTTAAACGTGGTTAAACGCGAGTCCCTCTCCGCTCAGTAAGTTAGGTTATGGTTAGGTTAGGATAGAACTGACTGTACCGTAGAGAGTAGCTATTCTCTTGTATCATTTTACTGCGACTCATCCTCCTTGAAGCGTTTATAGTTCTATACTGTTTCCGAGTGGCAACTTTCACATTGGCGGATATAATCGGTTTTTGGTAAATTTCACAGTTTCTACCGTCCGTCATCCGTGCCGAACCGGAGAAATTTCTGACACGCGATCCTTCACGATTCCACTTATATTTAAAAGAGGATAAAGAGGATTGATCATCGTGAGATCACGATGGATTAATTTATTATGCTTTTATTGACTGGCACTTGGAATTATCAGAGCTGTAACGTGTGACAGCTGAACATGCCATTTTGGATACTACGCGACTCACGGTCAGTCAAGATGTCGGAAGTCGACGCGGTGGCGCTGATGTTACTTCCTTCTGAGCAACTAGTAATTCTTTAAATTCAAATGTTTCGTGCACATCGAACTCCTCCTTTTTCTTTTTCTTCTTCCCGATTCACTAAAAAACTATAATGAGCAGTTTGTATTTAATTCCGGTTATTAACCTTCACGGCGTGGCGCTGTGCCGACATTGGGTGGGAAAGACGAATAATTCCCACTGGCCAGGATTTATTAAAACGGCACCGAAACTCGTGATTAATTACAAAAACCGTCTAATTAGATACGCGCCGTTAATCGTACAGGGGCTCCTTCTGGAGCGTGCCGAGCTGTGTCTCACATAATAAGGAAATTCACAGTAGGGTACGAGAAATTTGTGGAATACGCGAGAACGAGAGGGCACGGTAAAAATGGCCGATTTAATTATAACGAGGAACCGGTAAGAACTTTTTTTTTTTGTGGACTGGATAAAATAATAAGAAGGATTTATGACACAAAGTATGAAGAAACACACGTACGTAAGTTTTCAATATATCATTATTAACCGTTCACTGTGGTTTTTTTTCTCGTGACATCGTTTATATTGACAATTCATCTATTTACACAATATCAATAATATTAATAATATTATTAGTAATAATAATTAAATCATCATTATACACTTCTACTACAAATATACAGATCTCCTTTTGCGTCTGATCTTCCTATTATGTATGTCTATCGTGTATTCATTACGCCTGGCTATCCGTGTCATGTGAATGTGTGTGATGTGTCATGTATTTTTTTTTTCAATGCGTGATTCTTCTTTTTTATACAAAAAGGTATACTATTCCGTCTTTACAATGTATATAATACCTTCGATTCTCTTTATAGTATATCTAAAAAAAAGGAGATGCATTGTTACCAAAAAATTGGCTGGACTGGCTCGTTTCCATTATTCCTATTTTCTTAATGGACTTAATTCGCGGAAGGATAAGTTAGTCCGTTCCTATTTGGAAATTCACGTGAAGGAGGTAAAAAGGAATTTCAACAATAGATACTGGATCTTTAACACGAACGTGTGGTACATGGGGACGGTTACGAAATTTTCTTTTTTTTTTCTTTTCTTTTCTTAGTCGGAGGGGAGAATGAATATTTTCTACTACGCGTTTTCAAGGAACAGGGAAGATTCTTATATATATATAACGTATCGTTATATCAAATAGTCCAAAGAAGTGTAAGTACAAAAAAGTGACAACAGCTTTATTACATATTATATTTCTATAATATAATCGGTTTAATATGTATATGTACGTGCGTTTTTTTATTCCTTTGTTTCGCTTCTTTACGATTCTCATTTAAATCTCCCTCGCGCATTTTAATTATTAGGGTCGGCCGATCGAGCGTACGGCGACTCGATCTTTCCCAGGTTCGATCAATAGTCCTGGATCTAGGGATCGATTGATCGCGAGACGCTCGGCCGATACTCCGAGCCTGACTTAGTTGGTAATATTTTCGTATAATATTATTTAACAGGAACATTATCGAATCTTTGTTCTTCTTCGTCGTTATCAGCATCATCATTATCATTATACACCGTTATCGTATTCGTCCGCGTATTCGTCATTATCATTACTATCCTTATCATCATCATCTACATCATCGCTTCCACTATTTATAAATAAATAAATTGATTATCATAGATAGAAAAAAGAAACGGTCATCTGACATGGCGCGATTCCGACCGTGCTGCCTCCTACCGGGATTCTCGAGATTATGAAAGAACGAAAGCTTTCTCGCGAGTAAGTGGATATCGTCACTTTCACTTTGGCTCAATCGTCACTTATTTTTCGAATTTTCCCACAAACTTTTTTTTTTGGATTTCACGAAAAGAAAAAAATAAATAAATACACGAATTCCGGAAACACCTCGCTGACATTGAATACGTTGCTCTCGTTCTCGTGAAAAAAAGAAATGTACATTTCTGCGAATCGCAAGAAGATCGATCACGTCTAGATCATTTTTTTTTTGTATTTCATCATAGTCGTTCGTATTTCAAAAACAACTATTTCAAATAGAGTCGATCTGACGTGTGGACGTTCTCGCGATTTACTATCGATTCTATTTTTTTTTTTTTTTTTCACGAGGACGAACATGCGCACATTTTTTTTTTGACAACACATGCGCAGCTTTACACACGAGATAGAAATATGGGACGTCATGTACCGTCATTAAGATTCCTGTAGACACGAACAATTTTTCTATTTCCGATTTGACTTATAGACATCGGCTTGGCGCAGGAAAGTGTTTTCCTTCTTGCACCAAGCTAAACCGTCGGATACAAATGCAAGTGAAAACGAGCCTTTAGCCGACCCGGAACGATTTGGCGAGTAGGGTTTGCCTAGTGGGAATCCCAAGTCGCCAAATCTTTGAAATAGAAAAGAAAAACTCGTACAAAAAAAATAACATACCCATCTCATCCCACATTTCGGTCTTTCGAAACAGGAACAAGAAAAAGAATTATAAAAATTGACAATATGAAAGTACAAAAAAAAAAAACGTCAGAAAATGTCAAGTAAAAAAAAAAGATAATGGCTCAAAGAGGCGACACGATCTTCGGGTGCGAAATCGGCTAGCCGATTTTTTGAACATGCACGCACGCACGCATTCTTAATAATTTTCACATACGCACGTTTACGCATCCGCGCAGACATTCACCTACACTTAGCTAAGCATGCATACATACTAGGACGCAGTCTCAGCCGGAAATGAAAAGAATATGGACAATAAACGGAAGAAGAAGAGAAGAAACATATATCCGGAAAATTACTGGAACAATGATAATGCGATATACATATAATATAATAATTAATAATATTAATAGCAATCGTAATAATTAATAATAGTAAATAACAATAATAATAAATTAGTTCTGTACAGAGTTGCTTCGAGCATGATAATATTAATACCTAAGACGGGCGGAATTGCGCGACCGCCACCACAGCATCGTCATCCTCGTATAGTAGTCGTCATCATTATGATTATCATCATCATTATCGTTATCATCATCATAATCATAATCATCCTCGTAATCGTCCAAAACCCCCAGGGGCCGTCGTATCCCTCTCGCATTTCGCCCCTTTTTTCGGTATCGCACAATTTTACAAAAAAAAAAAAAAAAAAAAAAAAAATATATATTTTTATATATATATGTATATATAGAATAATAATAATGACGCAAGTTTTCGCGAACTAGTAAATTCTTCGAAGCGATGACGTCGCTCGACGTCATCATTATCACTATATATGTCTCGCAACCATTCATTCGTATAACCCATACACACTGGCATGTACACGCGTAGGGCCCCGGAAATGAAGGGCGCATCAGTCGTCAGGCCCAGCAGAGGACTATTTTTTCTTTTTTAATAACGCACACGTACTCGAACACACTGACAAAATGGACATTACGAAAAGTCGATTCACTTTCATTTTCTTCATCTCGTTCGCCGAGGATACACAGTGTTGACAAACGAGTAAATGTGAATGCGCAACAAGTACTCGTTTGAAATAATAGTAATAATAATAATATTAATAATAATAATAATAATATTAATAATAATAATAATAATAGACTGGGCAAGTCGCTCCAAGACAGTCGGTGGTTCCTTAATTTTTGACTACCCGCTACACTGTATATCCTCACTGTGACTTTTAATTCCAAGATCAAAATTGATCATCGTATATCTAATATGGGTTTAACAGGGCAGGAGAAGGAAGAGGAGGAAGAGGAGACGGGGTCAGAGGACTCCGGTTCCATGGGGGTCTAAGGGGGCCATTACACAGTTATACACTGATGGCTTATCGTTACAGTCAAGGGGGGCTCAATGGTGACAGTACACCTACCTACCTAGTATGTATCTCTCGCATGAGAATGTCTCTTTAATTCCAAGGTGGATGTATCGTAGAAGCAAATGTAGAGCGAGAGAGTGTTTC